ATCTTTGGGGTGAACAAAACTTTGTCGTAACGTGTTTTGGGGTTTAAAAGCCACTGGGACGTCATGTTTAGTCATGTTTAGTCATGTTTATCTTAAAAAGGCAGGAATCTGAAATCTGCTCAGGTCATTTTGACTTAAACCTGTTTGATGTGATGGGTCACATATTTATTTTAGTCATTCTTACCCTTGTGATTAGGCGCTACAGTGATTTAAGTCAATGTCCCCTTGCCCTTTATGTATTACCTGCGTATTGATCATGTAAAACGTCTACATTTATCATTTCTGTTTGCTTTTAGACCAARCCACAAAGCCAGAGTTTCTGATTAGATTTTCTTTCCCAGCTTGCTGTGTACCAGCTGTTTGTGGGTTACAGTCACATCCAGCTCTGACTTTCTTTTATCCATTTTAATTCCTCTTCTCATATCAGCACAATAAAAACTGACATGTGGGCCTGTACCTGTGCTATTCAACACATATGGCAAAATGGATTTTAAGTAAGTTGTAAAGTTTACATTTATGATTCAATGCAACAAAAACTTAAAACTAGAATAGTTCCTGGAGAAACTGTGAGAGGGCTTGCCAGCTGTGCAAGACGTCCTGTATGTTTTTGCTGCTTAAAATACATTCAATACTACAGATATACTGTTGCTTTGTGATCACTGTGTTGGACTACCAGCCCAAATATGAGGCAAGTATGTGAAAAAGTGGCTGAGCTGTGGTCARTTTAGCATATTAGCTACAGTGGCTCCAGTATGTGACAGAGCTTACTCTAAGCTAACTATAAAGAAATTTTTAGCCCAATATGTGAAACACTGGCTGAGCTAAAGCCCTTTGAAAATATCTATGGCAGCCATGTTGGATAATTTAAAGACATTACAAAGGTAAACGATAACAAAAATTGTCAGTGTTTCCTCTACCATTATCAGTCTTTTACCTTCATCTGTTGGTTTGGAGTTTTAACATGTAAAAACAGAAAGAAACACTTGGGGGGTTATTGGACCAAGGCCTGATCCTTGGTCAAGACCCTGGCCTCCCACTCCATGGTGAGGTCGAAGATAGTTTGAAAAACTAATGTATTCCTGCAGTAACCAGACTTCTTAGTGAACATTTGTGATGTTTTGTACTGTTATTTTACTGTTTTTATGTCTTGTGTAATATGAATGGTTTTATGACTAACTGCAACAAATTGCCCATCAGGGATACATAATAACGATTCCTGAATAAACTGACAGGACAGGAAATACTTACCGGTACACGTACACTTTCTGGTGYGGGTACTTTGTTGTAAATATGGTTTGACAAAGATCTTATTTTCATCAGTACACTTGAACTGTAGACGGTTAAAATCCCCACCACAAAGGACAGAACCAAAAAGCACAACCAGCATCTTGCTCTTTTCCACAGAGGCTTCTCTCTGTCGAGAGAGGAAAGAAACATCTTTAATGATAGTTTTCAGATGATCGCTTTCAATCAGTGCTCCAGAACTTCGCAGGAAACTGAACYGTGCTTCCATTAAAAAGCTTCAATGGTCTTTAAGGGAATATTTTAATGCAAGCACTAAAACCTTAGTCCTGAAAGTGGTTTGTGTTTACAAACTGTGCACTCAGACCAAAAATAGGGAGTGATATTTGTGTCTGAGGAGAAGAAACAGAGAAGAGGAGTGATTTGCTGCACAGTTGCTTTTCCAAAAAGAGGACAGCCATTGCTAGCAAATGTAAACACAACAATGACAGGCAAAGGTTGAGAGCTGGCTGACATGATGCAGACAGAGAAAGTGGATGTTTCATGTGAGCAGGAGACCAAGTCAAAGAGCAGTCAGGCTTGCATCATTGGAGCATATTTAAGCTGTTTTACCATGGTGTGGAAGAGGAATGGAGTAGGACTGGTYCTGAAGGAGGAGTTTGTAAAGAAGAGCTCAAAAGAGTGATGAAGAAAGGTCTGATGCTGAAGTTGTCAGTGGTTCTGCTCCACAGGTTAGATGTGAGGAAGAGGAGAAAGAGAAAGCATCTAGATCTGCAACATGTGGTTCTGAGGCTTTGTGCAGCTCTGTGAAGCTTTCCTGTCATGTTGCTTGTAAATAATGTGTGATCTTTGTATACAGGGACTGAAACATGTTGATTAAATCAGTTTGTTGGTGGCAAGTCAGTAGATTGGTTTCTTTTTACAATTTCTTTAAAGGAACAGTGTGTAGGATTTTGTCTATTCTTTTAGCAGAAATTGAGATAATCACTAATGACAATAATAAAAACATGTCTAATC